TGTGTGTGTTTATTGCGTCATAGGCTCAGGCAGTAATTTTGCAGTGTATTTTTTTCTCCATAGGTTTTCGGATTATATAAATATTTAGAGGAACTATTTCTTAAAAAAAAAAAAATCAAGAGATGGTCTACTACAGGGACAGTCAGTCCGAGAGGCCACCTTTGTCTCGTATTCTGCCGCATCTCTACCTTGGTGCAGAGACTGACGTAACGCAGGTATATTTACAATTCTCTAATGATTCCTCATGCTAAAGAGTACAAAATCCTCCCTAAACCATAATAAAATTACATTTGCTACGTAAGTTAGTTTATTTGCATATATATTTGCTACAATAGTTTGTTCTAGTCCGTATTTTGCAGAACACAGAAGTTGTTTTCTCACCTCTCACCCGCTATTCGTACGCACAGGATGGTTTGTCCGACCGCGGCATCTCATACGTATTAAGTGTGAGCCGATGCTGCCCACAACCTTCATTTCTGCCCCAGTCCCAGTACCTCCGTATCCCAATAGACGACTCCCTGCGGGATGACCTGCTTCCTTGGATCCCTCAGGCGTTGCACTTCATTGGTGAGGGCCCCGGAATCCCACTGCTTACATCAGCCTGCATTTGCATCCCAGCTGCATTACATCATTAATATATCTAGCATGGATGCACAGAGCTGTGACTATGGAAATAGATTTGTTTTGTCTGTGCAAAAAACACAATACCATGCTACTTTAAAACGGATCATTATTTTATGCATCTGGTAGAAAATTTGGGTTATAGGTGTAATTGCATGTATAATATTTTTAATAAAACAAATTAACTGTTTCAGATGGGGCCATGTCATGTGGCTGCTCAGTCCTGGTCCACTGTGCTGCAGGAATCTCTCGGTCTCCAGCACTTGCTGTGGCTTACGTCATGTATAGCCTGAAAATGGATCTGGATCATGCATACAGGTAATGTGCATATGTTTTGTTTTACTTCTACTGCCATTTTCTGTGTAAAAAAAAACAAACTGAAATTTAGCATCAAAAAAAGTCTGAGATATGAAATTGGTGATAAAAGTGAGAATGATTTGTTTCGTTGTTTTTCTTTTTTTGTATCATTGGGCCATTCATGTTTTGTTTTGTTTTTTCATTTTATCATGAATGCAGATGATTCAAATAAGCTAATTATCATGATCTGATAATTTCTTTAGGTTTGTGAAAGAACGCAGACCCACAATTTCGCCGAACTTTAACTTCTTGGGGCAGCTGCAGCTCTTCCAGGGAACGCTTTCTTTGAAGAATAATAACACAAACCTTCACTCTCAGCAGTCAGTCAAACCTTTGGATAACTGCCTACAGCCCACCAATGAAAAAAATAACAGCAGTTCCACAGTGGCACTGTTAACTAACCTGAACCTTCAGAACAACATTGACAACAACTGTATTATTAATGGATGTACTGAGGATTCCAAAGCAAATGTGCACTGTGAGAACAAGAACAACCAAATGGAAAATATTCAGAGCCGAGGCCAACGCTGTGAGGTGATGAAGCCAGAGTTTACCTTATCTCTTTCAGACAAGCTCAGAGCGCTCACTCTCCGCACCAATCCCGTAGAGGTACAAAGACCAGTCAACATCACATCTCAGACACAGCAGGATGCACCAAAGTTCAACCTACCTAAGCCTACTTACCTTCAGATTCCGTCTCTAGCGGAGAAACGCAAAAGCCTTACTCTTTCCCTAACACCAGTGAGTGCAGTTCCTCAGACTCACCAGAAGGGGTCATCGGTGAACAGCTGTGATCTGAGGCAGAGCAGTTCCGCCGTTGACCAGACGGGGGCGTTAGATGACCTGGGCAGAGTCGATATGGAGCCATCAACATCAGAAACCAGAACAGAACCAAAAGAGGCAAACGGGTTTATCAGCCAGGAGGCTTCAGCTAAACTCAGCTGCTCAAAATCACAAAGAAGAAAGAATAAACTAAACAGCAGTAACCCCAGAGCAAATATGAAGCAACAAAAAACAAACCAAGTGAGCCATTCAAGCACAAGATCACAGAGGCAGACCCAGGGACCATGTGGTATCATAACCTCCCCGCAGGAGCTTTTCGTGAATGAGGTTACTGGTGGTGTTGAAGCAGTGGAGGGTATGGTTGGAGACCAGAGCCCCTTGTCTCCGGTAAGTCTAACAGTCAACAAAATACTGGACTGGGGCGAACGCATGCTGCTTGGGGTCCTACTTGGCCCACGTGTTAAACTGGGACAGGCTGCTTTGCCGTACAGATGTTGAAGAGAGACTGGTTGTATGAACTGCGCTATTTAAAGATACAGGTGTAAACAAGGACTGTACACTGTTGATCTGAAGGAACTAAAATGAAGATGACGATACTATGGCTGAAAAAGCATATGTATGAGTGTGTGAATTCACTTATTTATTTAATGAAATTGCATGTTCCTCCAAGACTATTTGACAGACTCACGTCATCTGATGGTCTAGTGATATGTGAATAAATGACTGAACGTCTGCAAGAACAAGTGCGATTTGTTCTATTATAATGCACAGCTTGCCTGTGACTTTATTTATTGAAATATACTGATAATTTTTATTTATAAAGGGGTATTTTGCAGGTGGAATTTTAACACTATAGCTTGTATTGAAAACAGTGTTCATTAAAGACAATTATTTTATTCTGTCTCATTGTCTTATTCATTTTATTTTCATTTTCATTTCAGCGTCTACTATTTGGTGAATTGTATAATAAAATGTTATTAAAAGACAAAATTTTGCTCTGAATTTGAATGCCAGTTGATCAATAGGACAATGGTTCTGTTCCCTTATTTTGTAATTAAATTACGTAACGCCGTTACATGTAACTACAACACTGGCAGTGAATGGGTCCGCAAGCAATCCACAAGACTCCAGTGAATCATTTAACATCTTTTGAAGTGAAAACCTGCGTTTTTGTAATAAGTGCTTCATCTGTGCATATTTTTCTCCGCATTTAGATGATATCATGGTTAGCAGTCTCTTATTTTTAGCCAGAGCAGCTGTAAAAAAAATTATTGTAAACACACAGCTTTTCACCTCATAAGACATTCAGTGATGGTCTGGAGTCGTGTGGATTACTTGTGGATCATTGTGATGTTTTTATCAGCTGTTTAGACTCTCATTCTGACGGCACCCATTCACTGCAAAGGATCCACTGGTGAGCAAGTCATGTAATGTTAAGTTTCTCCAAATCTGTTCTGATGAAGAAACCAACTCATCTACATCTCGGATGGCCTGAGGGTGAGCACATTTTCAGCCTTTTTTCATTTTTGGGTGAACTATTTCTTTAAGAAAACCATTAGTAATAAATATACATACAATGATACATTAATTTTTTTTTTTTACTTGCTGGAATTTATTGCAACCGTCTACATAAATTTACTCCGCTTGGTTTAGTCACAATAAAGAGGAGAAACGTTTCCTCAGAAATGTTGGAAAGGCAGACAACTGGTGGGTGTCTCTAAAAACATTTTTCTACACATGCAGTTAGTCACATCCTGGGAGGTTTTCGTTTAATACAAGCCAAGCGATCCAGCATCCACATCGATTATCTATTCTAAACATTAAGTTTTTATTAGTGTTATTATTGCTATTATTATTATTAATAGTATTTTGTTATTATTGCCGAAGTATCATCATAGTATCACAAAAGAATATACAGGAAGAACTTATGCAAATGTTAAAGTACTAGGAAGAACTATAAAATAAAAAAGATACAAAATATTACATCTGGACAAATATCTAATTTCATATGTCGCATTTTTTGACCACAAAATATTTTATTACATATCATGTTATTATTTTTGTTTTGCCCTTTATTTTTTTAATCTTATTTATAAGCTCAATAAAATCACAAGCGGAATAAAAAATGGCCAATGAATGCTGAATTAACGCTCAATGTGAACATCTACTGTAACACAGACAAACAAGGCCCTTAGCCAAATATGGGAAAGACCACGCTCGAATTACACGTTTATCATACAGCCTGCCTTCTATTGCGGAAATGCAAGCGTAGTAACCGCAGAATCGTTCATCGAATCCTGCTCATTAGCCAATCAGAACTCGTTGTGGCTCACCGATTACGAAATCATACGTTCGATGAGAAAAACAACACCTAAAGCCCCGCCCACTTCAGGCGTACGTATGAGATACACTCGGAGGCGAAAAAAGTTGCCCCTGGTCATGAAAAAAAGCTATCGGAAGTAAGAGAGAGTCCAGAAATCACCAAGAAAAATCCAGAGGGCGGACATTCCTTTAAGTCTGGAATTCGCTTTTTATCTCCCTAAGCAAGATGGTTGTATCGCTTGTACAAAGGGAGAACTTGTAGGCTAAATCTTGCAGATATAGTCTATTAAAGTTGTCGGAGTATTCGCGGGTTTGCAGTGGACTAACTTGCCACCAGAAGGCTAATTTACTCAAGGCGGCTGCGGAAGGAAGGTAATCGGCGATCATTGCCCAGACCAGCACGGTATTTGTTTTATTTCCTCTCTAGCGTTATCAATCTGCAAATGCTGTTGTTTCGTACATATTGAACCATGGAGCTTGGACTATGATACATACTCGCCCAAAATCTGTAACATTGTAGCCTGCTGTAGAGGTTTATCAACGATGCCAGGCCTTGTACGGTCTTAAATCTTTACGCTCGATGGAGCAACGTTATTCCTTTTAAAACAGTTTTAGTCGAATAAGAAAACAGGATTCGTGTTCTTTATAACCTAATGTTTCATATTTGCAGGAGTACGACCATGTCAACTGAAGAAAGATATAAGTTGGTGGTCGTGGGGGGTGGAGGTGTGGGGAAAAGCGCCCTGACTATTCAGTTCATTCAGGTAAGTGTATTTTTGAGGACTTTTTCTATGAAATAAAGATGTATTTATGGCGCAATATTGGGCAAATATGCGCTGTGAGTGTAAGTATTACTGTGGGTGTGTTGTAAGAGTTGTGTGAAGCATGTTCCTCCCAGTGTTGCCAACTCATTTTCAGGTCGATTTGTTGCCAAAAGTTGCTAAACGACGTTATGATGTCATTGCGCGATGACGTCATTGCATAATCACAACACAGAATTGTCACAACATGAAATCTCAGCAAAAAAGATATTTTATATCTTAATTTAGATTTGTTTGTCAAATAATATGCATAATATAATATTAAAGTATAAATAACTGTATTTTTAAATACATTGAATTATGGAACACTTACACGTTTTGGAATGGTTACAATTTAAGTTTATTTTTAAATAGCTAGTAAACTAGTAATACTACACATTCTCAACAATTATGCTTTAAGCAGTGTATTAGTAGTTAGTTAGTATGCTACACTAAGAAAAGTGAGGTCTGTAAAAATAGGGCACAATCTACTATGTTAATATGAAAGAATGTTCCGTATTGGTTTTTTACCTGCATTTGAAATTACGCATTGTGTTTTCAGGTTACAGGGTTACAATGGATAATGTCCTGGAAAATTACTAGTATCTTTTCCATTTTCCATTTTTCTTACAGTGTACTAACTGATCAGCAATCGCAGGTACAAGCTACTAACAAAGTGTATCACAACTGAACAATTGTTCAATTATTATTATTATTCAATTGAACAATTGAAAATAGCAGCTAACTCAATACACATGATGTGTGTACTGCTAGGCATCTGTGGTTTCTTCTTTTTGTGTAATTTGGATGAAAAATGTGTGCCTTTTTATTGTCTGAGTCACTTATCAAAAGTTGCTAAAAGTTGCCAAGTAAATTTTAAAATTTAAAAGTTTATTGCTAAGTGCTTTTGGAAGAAAAGGCTGCTAGGGTAGTCTGAAAAGTTGCTAAATTTAGCAACAAAATTGCTAAGTTGGCAGCACTGGTTCCTTCATGTTAAAGCCCTTGTTGAGGAGCTGGTGAACAACCACAATGTTTTCTTTGTTTTCTTTCGCAGTCATACTTTGTGTCGGACTTCGGACTATGCATTGAAGACTCGTACACTAAAATCTGCACCGTGGATGGAAAGGAGACACGATTAGACAGTAGACAGTAATTAATGTGTTCTTTATAGGAAGGAATGAGTGTTAAAAAGCTCCACAGGTTCCCTCAGAAGGGAGATTTTGGTCAGAGTTGCATCAGTATGATTCATTGCAGACTACGGGTTCCTGCCCAGGTTTTGTTTTGACTTGCTGTCAGTACGACATCATGCCAGCTGTGCTTAAAGCAAACTTTGTGTGTCAGTCAGTTATGAATTGCATTTGGGCACAACAAAATGTTATTTGTTTGTGTGGATGAGCTCATCTTTCATATTCCCCCTTATTCATTTGTGTTATTGTGTTGTTCGCCTGTTCATTAGTCCTCGACACAGCAGGGCAAGAAGAGTTTGGAGCGATGAGAGAGCAGTACATGCGCTCCGGAGAGGGTTTCTTACTGGTGTTTGCTCTTAATGACAGTGGCAGGTAGGTGTTTTCCAGAGTGTGTTTGTGTCTGTGTGTGTGAGAGGAAGGGGAATAAATAGTTCCTAACCTTTCTGTGTGACGAGAACAGAGAGTGTGTGTATCTGGCCGTGTGTGTTTTAAAAAAGAAACCACAGAATGTGTTTGTGATGAGAATAAGAGTGCTACGAGTGCTCATGTTATCAGGTGAACCTCAACAGATGAACTGAGCCTATTTGTATGGCGAGTATAAATGTAGACGTTTCTTACAGATGTGACTTGGACTGTGTTTTCCAGATTTTCTATGTAAATATTGTACCGTTGTAAACTGCAATCAATTATTCAGCCGCCGGAGTTAAGAAGATTTTTAATATATAATTTTTTCTTCAGTGAAGGTCTTTATTTTCAGTTTAGTTTTAGTTAGTTTTCCGTGTCACTGTTTGTTTTAATATATATATATTTTTTTTATTTTAAGACTGACATAATGTGCTAACTGGTATAATTTTACAAATATTAAATGCTGTTAAAATTCTTAGCACAGTCTTTTGTTATTGATGTTTAGTGACATTTTTATGTTTAATGAGAAAGTTTTAGAATATTTAGAATGTTATCAAACTTAAAACTAGAACTAAATTGTTTAAATGTAATTTGCCATTTGTTTTAGTTTCTGAGTCTTCAGTTTTTACTAGTTGTTTTCAATTATCTAGTTATTTTTATATCAGTTCAGGAAAATATTTCATGTAATTTTTGTTAGCAGTAATAACACTCATAAAAGAGATTTATTTTTAATATTTGTCAATTGTAATTTTACAGGCTACTATCCAAGATGAGTTAAATTATAATGACATTCTATGATCTCTGTATTATTTTATATTATTTTTGTGTTCGTAGAGCAAAATCTTGTCACTCTAATGAACACTTTCTCTCTTTTTCAGTTATGATGAAATTCAGAAATTTCACACTCAAATATTGCGGGTGAAGGATCGAGATGACTTTCCTATGGTTCTTGTTGGCAACAAATCAGATCTTGACCAGCAGAGAGTTGTAACGTTTCCGTGTTTCACAAATGACTGAATTTTTGATGAAAAACCCTAGATAGGCTGCCAATTCATCTGTATGTGTTTTTCAACTAGATCTCAAGAGATGAGGCCATGTCGTTTGCCCGGGAAAACAGGATCCACTATATGGAATCGTCAGCTAAGAACCGCCACAATGTGGATGAAGCCTTCATGGAGGTTGTTTTATTGTCTGAGTCACTTATCAAAAGTTGCTAAAAGTTGCCAAGTAAATTTTAAAATTTAAAAGTTTATTGCTAAGTGCTTTTGGAAGAAAAGGCTGCTAGGGTAGTCTGAAAAGTTGCTAAATTTAGCAACAAAATTGCTAAGTTGGCAGCACTGGTTCCTTCATGTTAAAGCCCTTGTTGAGGAGCTGGTGAACAACCACAATGTTTTCTTTGTTTTCTTTCGCAGTCATACTTTGTGTCGGACTATGACCCAACCATTGAAGACTCGTACACTAAAATCTGCACCGTGGATGGAAAGGAGACACGATTAGACAGTATGTTGGAATTAATGTGTTCTTTATAGGAAGGAATGAGTGTTAAAAAGCTCCACAGGTTCCCTCAGAAGGGAGATTTTGGTCAGAGTTGCATCAGTATGATTCATTGCAGACTACGGGTTCCTGCCCAGGTTTTGTTTTGACTTGCTGTCAGTACGACATCATGCCAGCTGTGCTTAAAGCAAACTTTGTGTGTCAGTCAGTTATGAATTGCATTTGGGCACAACAAAATGTTATTTGTTTGTGTGGATGAGCTCATCTTTCATATTCCCCCTTATTCATTTGTGTTATTGTGTTGTTCGCCTGTTCATTAGTCCTCGACACAGCAGGGCAAGAAGAGTTTGGAGCGATGAGAGAGCAGTACATGCGCTCCGGAGAGGGTTTCTTACTGGTGTTTGCTCTTAATGACAGTGGCAGGTAGGTGTTTTCCAGAGTGTGTTTGTGTCTGTGTGTGTGAGAGGAAGGGGAATAAATAGTTCCTAACCTTTCTGTGTGACGAGAACAGAGAGTGTGTGTATCTGGCCGTGTGTGTTTTAAAAAAGAAACCACAGAATGTGTTTGTGATGAGAATAAGAGTGCTACGAGTGCTCATGTTATCAGGTGAACCTCAACAGATGAACTGAGCCTATTTGTATGGCGAGTATAAATGTAGACGTTTCTTACAGATGTGACTTGGACTGTGTTTTCCAGATTTTCTATGTAAATATTGTACCGTTGTAAACTGCAATCAATTATTCAGCCGCCGGAGTTAAGAAGATTTTTAATATATAATTTTTTCTTCAGTGAAGGTCTTTATTTTCAGTTTAGTTTTAGTTAGTTTTCCGTGTCACTGTTTGTTTTAATATATATATATTTTTTTTATTTTAAGACTGACATAATGTGCTAACTGGTATAATTTTACAAATATTAAATGCTGTTAAAATTCTTAGCACAGTCTTTTGTTATTGATGTTTAGTGACATTTTTATGTTTAATGAGAAAGTTTTAGAATATTTAGAATGTTATCAAACTTAAAACTAGAACTAAATTGTTTAAATGTAATTTGCCATTTGTTTTAGTTTCTGAGTCTTCAGTTTTTACTAGTTGTTTTCAATTATCTAGTTATTTTTATATCAGTTCAGGAAAATATTTCATGTAATTTTTGTTAGCAGTAATAACACTCATAAAAGAGATTTATTTTTAATATTTGTCAATTGTAATTTTACAGGCTACTATCCAAGATGAGTTAAATTATAATGACATTCTATGATCTCTGTATTATTTTATATTATTTTTGTGTTCGTAGAGCAAAATCTTGTCACTCTAATGAACACTTTCTCTCTTTTTCAGTTATGATGAAATTCAGAAATTTCACACTCAAATATTGCGGGTGAAGGATCGAGATGACTTTCCTATGGTTCTTGTTGGCAACAAATCAGATCTTGACCAGCAGAGAGTTGTAACGTTTCCGTGTTTCACAAATGACTGAATTTTTGATGAAAAACCCTAGATAGGCTGCCAATTCATCTGTATGTGTTTTTCAACTAGATCTCAAGAGATGAGGCCATGTCGTTTGCCCGGGAAAACAGGATCCACTATATGGAATCGTCAGCTAAGAACCGCCACAATGTGGATGAAGCCTTCATGGAGGTTGTGCGAGCAATAAGGTATTTGGAATAGAAAAGCGCTCTTATGAGATTGACAATGTAGTGCATTGTGATAAACTCGCATTACCGTCTGTCTTCAGGAAGTTTCAGGAGACAGAGAGCCCACCGCTCCCCGCTAATCACACGAGGAAGCAGAAGAGTGGTGGCTGTCCCTGCACCCTGCTCTGATTGCCCCTCTGCACTGTTGCCTAGGAGACTGAAGCCCTCACTCTCACGCCTGGTGCCTTATATGTCTACACGGAGTGTGTGTGTGTGGCACTGTATGCATCAGTGTTTTAGTGGCTTTTACAGTATGTATGTAAGAACTGGTTTCCTAGAAGAAACTAGGCAATATCAAATGAGAGCGAACCGTGAATCTGTTGGAAAGAGGGAGTTCTTGTTTTGTCCACATGTTTTATTTAGTGCCTTGTAAAATCATGCTCTTGATTTTAGATTCAAGAACAGTATTTGTTTATTTCCACCACAGTATGAGATCGCAGACTGATTGTGTACCACGAAAGAGATTTCAAAAAATTATATAAAATCACCACTGAGGTGGTGAACAGTAGCGGCAATGTATATTTAAACAACCACATAAGCGAACATAGGCGGTGCTGACAAAGCTTTTTGATGGTTCTTATGTCATATGTATGTCATATATTGGGTTACTGACTCAAAGAGATAAGTCAGACAGTATTTTATTGGCCCAGTGCTCTGTTCAGCCTGTCTTCTCTCGGGAGATTCATTGAGTCAGTGAGACTGCACTGAAATGGCTGTGCTAGTCTACACCTTGCTTCCCATCAGTGGCAAGAATATATTCAGCCAGCTTGTTTTCATTAATCTCTTCCTGATAAAGCAATGTGGGATGACTGAGACGTGATGTGGTTTTAATAATTGAGTATTTTTAGTAGTGTCGAAACAATGGGTCCAGTATCTGCAATGCTAGTATTCATACAAACCAAAGGCTATAATGTACATGTTTGCACACCTAGCTTTGTCATCGTGACCGTTATCTAATGTAGTTTAACACTAAAATGGACAAATCGTGTGGTTTTATTTTGGGATTATTTTGATCTGTTTCAGTTTCGATTTGATATCTTTTTGAAGGTACTTCTATTTGTGCATATATGCAGAATAATGTATATGATTTGCTTGTGATTTTTGCACCTTTGTTCTTGGACAGTGATGAAAAAGTGATACAGAGGAATTGCCAAATGAATTTACCAACAAAGCATGATATTAATCAGTGTTGTAAGGGAATGAGTCACTCTGTAAATAGGTAGAACAACCTAGTTTAGGGTGAGGAAAAACAAGACTAGGTGCTTTTCCTTAGTCACACTATAGCAGTTCATACGGTATACTTGTCTCTGGAGGGAGTTGCTACACACTTTACAGCCTTTAATCAAGGGACATGGATTTTTTTTTTTTCAAACTGACAAATTCTGTTGTGGATCAGGTTTGTCAGCTGCAAATAAGAACAAAGCACTATTTAATTTTTAATGTTAAACAGAATTACACAATGTGGTAACAGGATGATTCTCATTCATATCATTTCAATATAATTTCATGTGTTAAGTCTGATTATTTATAGGCAGGTGAGTTTTGTTTTCAGGGTTGGAGCTGAACTCTAGGACCGAACTTGCCTACCCCTGCTCTAGGCCTATATGGATTTATCAAAACATAGCCTGTTAATCTTTGTAATATTTTTTTTTATATTATTTTGAACAGGTACAATGCTGGGGTTTCCAGCGATATGTTTCAGCTTGATATCCCTGCTGCATCTTGTTTGGGGCAGAGTGATCTACAATAGAAATGATGGTAAATGATCAACTTTAAAACGCTTTTTAATAGCCAGTGTTTGAAATTCTTTGGGTTTATCTTTTATTGTTTCTAATTATTTAGTATTATGGTGTGTTTTTTTTGGTTGGTTTACCTCCCTATGCACTCATTCAAATCAAGGACTTAGACCTCTTAGATCTCATTTACATTAGACTTTTAGCTGTACTGCAAACATTGGTAGGTTTCATACTCTGAATGCAACATCATTAAATTTGTTTTTATTTATTTTTTATTTTAATGCTTTGTATTTTTAACTATGTCTTTGTGGTTAGCTGCCATTTCATTACCATTCCTGCATATTATACTGTTCCTTGTGTCTGTAAAAAGTGTGTTTGTAGTGTGAAGCTGATTCTCATTATGATTCATATTCTCTTGTGTTCCTCAGTGTTCCTAGAAGAGAAGTCAGCGGGTTCATTTCTCTCCCGTAAACTGTTGTATAACAGTTGGGATTTTGAGTTACTGGTGCCTGACAATCTACAGAGAGAATGCATGGAGGAAATATGCTCATATGAAGAGGCCAGAGAGGTGTTTGAAGATGACATACAGACGGTAAGAAAAAGAGTCTATACAAGAAAAAGTGAACACAACGGAAGCATGTTATAGCCAAAAAAAAAGATGGTTTATGCACAGTTACTTGATGCTATTTATTTTGTTTTCCAACAGGCCAAGTTTTGGGAAGGCTATGTCAACAGTCATGGTAAGGTTGTTGTTGTTGTTTTTTATAATTAGCCCTTCAAACCCAAGGTGAAAATTCATAATCATATTACTAAGCAACCCCTGAATGGAATAACACAAAATAGGTATCATTTTACAGCTTAGAATCTCAGCTTTTTAATGAATGTAATTTCATGTATTTCGATCAACTCTTAACATGCGCTGAGCCCCCCCATATTACTAATAATCATATTTTTCAAACCACTGCCTTGATCAACAAAAAATCATTTGAAAGCTTAGAGTCTGAGCTTTACAATGCATGTAGCCACTTTGATCTCCAAAGTAGTGCCGAGCTATTTGCTGATAAATGACAAAAAAATGTTTTTGTGCCATTTCATACAGCTCGGATAGTCATATGTCATTTGAAAGGTCTCATCGAGTAGAATAAAACGAGTATAATTGTTTGGGGCTTTGACTAAACTTGAGTGAGGCATTACTTCAAATTCAAAACAACAATTTCAAAACTGTCAAGGGCTAAGAGAACGGCTACTTTGGTTTCAGTTGCTGTAACTTTTGATTACTTCATGATATCACCATAAAATTTAAGTCACATACAGCACACATGTTGGGGAACATCAACAAAAAAAATTCTCCTACCTTATTTCTTTCATGAGATATTGAATGTCAAATAAGAATATGAAAAATTTCCCTTGACCACACTAATTTTTCTTAAATTTTATCACCTATTTCTCAACATGATAATATTCAAATGCAAAGATTCCCCCCCTAAAAATATAGAAAAATTTCTATCAGACTATACCTACCTTTCGACTCTCCCTGCTACGGTCTTGGAGTTATGAGTCATTATTTTTGTGTATGGAACTCAGAAAACAACAGTTTTTAAAATGCCTTCAGGGAGTCAAGAACTAAACAAAAAGGCCTATTTTGTTACAAAATACTGTAACTTTCGGATACTTTATGCTATCACCACAATTTGAAACCGATACAGCTAACATGCTGGGGAACATCATCAAAAAAGGATTTTCCTCCTACCTTATTTCTGTCCTGAGATGAATGTCAAATAAGACATGATAAATTTCTCTTAAGCCCTCAAATTTTTCTTATATTTTTATCAGCTATTTCTCAGCAGGAGAAAGTCCAAATGAAATAATTTTTCCACTGAAAGTACAGAAAGTTTTCTATCAAACGATACCAACCTTTTGACTCTCCTTGCTACAGTGTTCGAGTTATGAGTCATTAATTTTGTGTATGTCACTCAGAAAAAAACATCAACTTCAGTGAGGCAAAAATGCCCAAATCATTAAATGTCAAATCATTTAAGAAAAAAATATTCTACATATAAGGACAGCTATATATATATATATATATATGTATATGTATATGCCCTTTATGCAGCAATATCACACTCATTTTTTCTGCATCTTCACAGTGTTCCTGTGCGTATGGGTGTGGATGGGCAGCCAATACCTGAGTCTGTGCCCTTGGCTAACAGGGCTCCAGGTCTCCCCTCGTACAATGAGGCTCTGACCCACAGCGGCCAGCACGATGCACCTCCACCGCCATACTCTGGGTAAGAGCACTGAACGGCCTGTTTGTACATCATAAACAAAAGCGATGCAGTGCTTGCTATAAAATTATTTTGGCTGCATGTTCAAAATATGTTTTAAAATATGCATCTTTGCTCTTTACAGGGGAAGTCCACCCGAGCCACCACAAACTCAAGAAGAGGAATGACAAAGACATGATGTTGATGTTGTTGTTGTTGTTGTTGTTTTTAAATGGGGGAGGGGAGAGGGGTGATACAGGGTTTTACTGGTGAAAAAGTGCAGCTTCAGTCAGTAGATAATGTATTATACTTATGCTACATGTTCAGCAGTTAACCCTATTTTATTCTTTAGAATTATTTTGCTACTATCATCATGGAACACAGTTTCGGTGTGAATGCTGTCAATATTTTCATGAATCAGATTTGTTCCTTTTTTTTTTTTTAAGAGTTTTATCAAATGGAATTTAATTTTCATTATTAATAAAAGAAATAAAATGTAGCCAAACTTGAATTTGATTGCTACTTCGACTGCGTGACGCTTAAATCGACTCCAGCATTTAGTCGCTGTTGTCACTCATCTTTTAGTCTCAGTGTGCACCGCTGTGCACAGACCATACTAGAGAGAGCGTCCCATACTCGGTAGTGCCTCTGTGCTGTAACAAGGCGGCAGTACGCACGAGACTTCCAGACAGACTGCGTATGTGTGGGAGTGTGACAAGCGAGTCGGCAGAGGGGGGCGTGTGTGGATATGTTTGTGTGTGTGAGCCTGTTAGTCCACTCTTAAAAATGGCGCCTTCTTGGCTAAATACCTGAAAATAGCGATTTGAATCCCGTGGGTTGGTAACATTTATATGAGGTATTGAAGCATGACACTGGTCCCTTGCATAATTCTTAGAAACTTTGCGGATTTTAATGAACCTAACAAGACACTTTGTTTCTGACGAGGAGGTAGCCTACAATCCCACGTTTATTTATCCATGATGTAAATATTTGGGGCGCAACGGCTGCATAAAAAATAAAACGCGCGCTCGGTTGACTACTATTTATAGAGACCTAGTATCTCACCTTTTTGTGGCAATGCAGTACGTGAACAACTAAGAGGAAATCAAGCACGTGTCGTGGATGTAACAAGCAATGGCATCAGAATTAGACATGCAGTGCATCAGCCGCGTTGCTGTTTCTGCTACGAAGGACAATAGGCATCGAGATATATAAGAGGGCAAAAGAGGGGAGGGGAGGAAGAAACCGGATTTTTTGTGGTGACGGGGGTTGGTGTACTTCACCCCACTCCCCTCCCCTCTCCTCTGTATCCATCTCCCCCTCCTCCTTCTCCCTCCATTCCTCTCCCCCTCTGTGCTGGTCCTATTCTTGAGGACTTGCTTGTGAAACGGGAGAGATAAACAGACACTGAACGCAGAGGAAAGGACACGGGGAGAGATAGTGTGTTAGAATTTAGGAAATACCTCCCTCCCCTCCCCCCTGTCTATCTCTCCATCTTCACCCCTTGTCTCTTCTTTAATGGATAGAAATTATCCTGGCACAGGATTCGGTGATCTGGGCGCTGGAACGGGATGGAGTTACGAGAGATCGGCGAAGGCAAGGTAAGGCGCCTGTGCAAGTACACTTCTCCCATGCACTGGATGCATAAATATGCTTAGCTGGCTGTAACAATGCCCATGCCGACGGACGAAATGCAATGCATGTTCCCACTCTCGCTCCCAGTGCTGTGTTCATTTACCACTTCCATGCGTTATATTGTCGCTGGCTCCACGTACAGCCATCAGTATTGTCATTTCTGAGGGAGGAGGGGGTGTCTTGAAAATGCAAGGAAGGCGATTGAGAGTTAATGCGTGATACGGAAGGTAGACCGAGACAGAAAAGGGGGAGAGGGGGCGAAAAGAGGGGGGATGGGATGATGTTGCTAGCTAGCTTGCTAGCGTATTATCAAAAATGAAAAATCAAACCTTCTGCCTTGGAGGCGCACCAAACCGGACATTGCATGCAGTACTTAAATACACGCTAATTCGGCGCAAGTTAGTGAGTAATGCGTGGCACAGAAGGCACGTTGACAAAGCGTTATTTTGGAGGCAACCAATTAGAAGCAGTCACATACATATTTTTGGGGATGAAATGGTCTTTAGCTACTGTATGCGGCTTGTCTCTATAGCTAACGCGTATTTGTTTGTAAAATCGACTAGGGTTTATTTTGGAAATGCACATTTTGTGTTAAATCAGAAAAAAGAGGTTAGATTTACTTCAACGTTAAATTACTAAATGCAGAGGTGAAGTTCCTTGCAGTCAGCATGTATTATTCGTTTACACATGTCACAACACGTATATTAAACGCTGTAAGAACAACCTCTGCTACTAATTCATCGTAGTATTAAAAAAAAAAAAAAAACCCAAACTTTGCATAGCCTATCGTTATCATCTAACGGAGAAATACCATATCTGTTGTTGAGGATACTGTCGTTTTTCTAGTCTCTTGGCAACATACCAAATAATGTGTGGTGTTCCTCAGTGAAATTACAGCGTGACCGAGACGTGCACACTGTAAACATAAACATAAGACGCACTGCAAACTTACTAGCAACCCACCAACAGAAAAGACGATCAATAAATACTTACTGCATAATGTTTGTTTCTTCTAAATATCCACAGACGTTTGAAAGAACTAATAAAATGACCTGACAAAGCTTAGTTTTACATTGACTAGCCATTAAATCTCTGCGGGAAAAACTAGGCTTGCTGAAAAGGGTTGATACTTTTAGGAAGTGTTGCATTGCAATATTTAAATAGCGATTAAATATTCTGTTGCTACCTGAAAACGGGACTGTTCGGTGACGGTGTCGTGCTCTACGTTAGGTACGTGGTTCACTATTTTCGCGGCCTACTTGCAGTTCAAAGGCGCGCCTCTATGTACGTTATCAGTCGCCGTGACAACCAGATCAATCTGAGCAGTTTACAGAGCACGCGTGCAATCGTTCTTGGTGGTTAGTGTCTCGCGTTGCATGTCTGGAGTCAGTCGTACACTTGGGTGCTTGCACACCTACAGCATACTTTTACCCTATTGTTATATGGGCACGGGAAGTGAAATGTTAAGAAATTAATTATTTATGATAATGTAGGTGTATTATGCCATACGGTGGAATCTATGCTACTATTCGTTGTCTTTGCAGACTTCTATTTAAAAAAAAAAATCATTAATTTGTAGGTTGTATTTAATCATTTTTTTATTTACACCGTTGCAAATAAGTTTTGGTGCCTATTTGTGTCATCATGTGTCAAGAAGTCGTATCATTTGTGCATTGCAAAACATTTGGAGTGGCTCCTTTTTTCTTACATGACAGGACAACAATAGGGCTATTCTTTTGAGCAATCATCCCTAGATGTGTGGAAACCCCTATGTGTATGTATGAGGAATTCCAATCACACTCCTAAAAAAGGATCACAAATGCTGTGTGTGGTCAGAGTTTATCTAACACGTAACATTCCCCCGATATTCTGCGAGACTGCATCCCAGTATCTCTGGCTGACTCTTAGCAAGTCTGAAGAGGAATTGTTCTATATTCTGTCGGAATCTTTAATATTGTGTTTCTGACTCAAGAGCATCTCTGTAGACTCATAGGCAGATTGATAGAATCCGGAATCTTGAATGAGGAGTTCAGGCTTATGATGATGGACAAGCTTCAGTGCTGCTGCTGCAGAGGCTGAAAAGCATCCGCCGAATAAAATGAAATGAAACGCTTTTGTATTGAATCTTCTCTCTTGTAGTTTTCCGAAAATTGCTTCTGCTTTTGAATGAATATTAGATAGTGAGACGGCTGCTTTGGGTCATTGTAAGCATAGCCATTATGCAATGATGAAACACTGAGAAGTGGAAAATTAGCATAAAATAAAACAAAATGACACTAGGGTCTGTGTAGGACACCACATTTGGCAATATTGGATCTTATATTAAGAAATGTTGTTGCATGTGTTAATATTAAACGAGAATAAACATATATAAAATTATAGCACTGTTGCTTAGCAAGACTTCTGCGCACTAAATCTTGGTTATTAAGGTGACAAAGGCATACTCCATGATGGCAAGGTTCACCAGGCCCTCTGTCCTTCTTAGGGCAGCATTACATCCAGCACACACCTCTGCACGGTTCTAATGGAGATTAATGGCCGTGACTGAGTTCCCCATCAGGCTGTAAACATTTTGCACCTGTTGGGGTGGGGGGGACTGTGTTGAATTACTGCCGGTGTTATTAGGAGCAGTCTTGTACAGTGAATTCAATCAAGCTTTCTAATTCAACCCTTCCCTTTGTTTTTCCGGTTTCCTTCCATTGTTTGTTTATTTTTCAAGTTTCACCTTTTCCCTATTATTCTTTTTCCCTCCATTGTCAAATTATGCTTAATCAGCTCAAGAACATGCACAATGGCAGGAGGTGAGTGGTTTAACAGGATGAATTGATTGACTGAAGGTGTAAGACAGCATGATGAAAAAAAGTGAGAAAGGAGAGGAAGAAATTACTGGATGTAAAATAGTTGTAGTGTGATTGAAATTTATAAAAAATAAAATAGTACATATATACATGCTTTTTAATATATTAAATTGAATTGAGTCCCTCTATTTTTATTGTAATATCAATTAAATATTATATTAAAACAAAAAAAGTATTTGTAGGTCACTAATTAAATTAAAAAAGCAAAAATCAATAAGCAAAACTTTTGCTTAGTCCTGCTGCTGTTGTTAAATTCAGCATGAAACCGAAACCATCTTCTCTTCCCTATTGTGACATTCATATCCATGTAAAATGGCTTATCAAATGAATGAGAAAAAATGTTGGACGGGACTTGTTTTTGTCTATTGGTAATTGATTGGATTGGATTGATCATTGTTGTTTTGCTAATTGCTGCGATCTCATTTGAGTGACGGGTTGCTGGAGGGAGGAATTATTGTCCAGCCCTCACGCCGGTGCAGATCCTGTTGTGAGGGGGAGGGGAAGGAAAAGTTCATGTTTATGATTAAAAATGATGAGTGCATATGAATTTAAAGATGTGCATGGATACATCATTTCTAATAAACGCTGCAATATTCCATAGAAATATAAGCAATTATGACATTCTGCATTTCACTTCTGACTCGTTATGCTGATGATATAATTTGTAATAAAAAAATAATATAAAATCAAAATAGACTTTTGAACCCCACTGTTTGTACAATATCCTTCATTTTACCTTATTCTTGTGAAGTTCATCTATTCCCTGATCGTCTCTGCGCTGCCTCTTTGGGATTAAGAGCCAATTACTGTCTAATTCTTATCAAACCTCACATTACCTAGAAGTGAAACTGCTTCCTTTGGTTGCACAGAATAATTATTTCTTGTACATGGATCTCACATTTGAAGAGAGAGTACTGATGCTATGATGCATTACTTATGATGATAAGACATTCAGTTGCAGGAGAAACATCTGCTTGTCAGGGTTCATCATATGTATTTTATTTTTTATTCAAAATGATCATTCATATCCATTTCATAACTTGCTGGTCCTTTTTATTAATGCTATGTGTCACTTTTGCATGGTAGTCTACTACTATGACTCAAACAGTATTTAAAGCAGTGACTCGGCTTATCTAAAATGCTTGCCTTGTTCTGCCTAACCTGAAACGATCCCACAAATGAATCGGTATCAAACAGATGCAGCAATGTATCAAAACATCATAAGGGTACTTTTGACATGGCACTGTATATTATGTATTATGCCAGAGGTACAATCAGTGAAGCAGTTGGCAGCCAGGATGTGCGCTTTCACTCATGCATTTAAATGTTTAACCCAGTTCATTAGAGCCTTTATCCAGTTAATTACGCGAGTCTTGTGCCTCCAAGATGAGGGTGTTTTTAAAAGAGATGGCCATGCTCCCAGATGGAACCCCCGCAGGATGGACATCAGTTGTCTTTGTCACATTTATTAGGGTCTTTTGAGAGACACGTATTCCGGTGACTATATTGAGCCCGGGAGTCTATTTAATGGAGAATGACAATATAAATCTAGTCTTGCGTCCTGTCGGGACTGAATTGGGAAGTATGTATGTAATGAGAGGCTGTGCATATAGATTGTACAGATTTATTTATTTATTTAATTCTTCGAATACTACATTCGAAGATGTAGGTTTGAATAAGGTCTTTCTTTAATAGGTTTTAAAATAGATTTTCTGGTCCACTCCACCGCTTCTGTTGAATGACACCCAGCCCCTCAGCACGCGCTCACTCAGTATGTGGTGTCTGTGGCTTCCCACTCTGGTCTCAGAGTGAGAGGGATCTAGACTAACTGAGCTGTACTCACACTAAGAGCCTGTTGAGGATGGAGGGGAGGGTGTTACCAAGGCAATTCAGAGCTTTTATCAATGAGCGCTCTGTGTCTTACCTCAGCAACATCCTAACCGCCATTGTCAACTGAACTGGCCACTCTATGAAAGCGAACAACAGAGACAGTCTGCAAAGACTGCAAAAGGCAGTTGATTGGCTGGCAACAGGCAGAGTGGCCAATCAGAATGCTGAGCTACACTCGGTATCATTGCCAAGAGGGTCTGGCTGCAGCCTTGCACTTGCATTCTCAGACTTGCATTCTCAGACACTTGCGCTTCCGTTAGCGACGTCACTTGCAGTCTTTATTTTTTATTTTGTTCTATTTTTTTATTACTTTTTGTGTGAATCTCAACATTTTACAATGGTAGCCAGGTGGTGAAGACAAGAAGAAAGGAACTAAATTACAATGTCACTTGCAATCTTCACTTGCACTCTCCGCTACCTGCGACGTCACTTGCAATCGACACAAATGTTGCCAATGGAGACAAGACGCTGTGGTGGTTATTAAACGATTAAAACTAATTTAGTACTATAAAATACAGGGTCCTGCAAGAAAAAGACAAGACCCGCAAATCCGTGACCACAGAACAGCAGAATATGAATGCAATGCACAAAGTCTCTCGTTAAGCGTTTTCCTCCTGTAGAAAAACATAAACACTTAACATGGCGTAATGTATTAAGATGCTATTAAAATATCAAATTAAATATAGTTTATTAATATAATGAATATGTATATAGTATTTTCCTCCCATACCGCAAAACGTGGCATAATGGACTAAAAAGGCCAAACTCAGTATGCTCCTCTACATTATTAATATACATAACTAATATGTACAGGCAAGCAGGTGAGCCCAGAATAAACACAACACGCACATTCGCGTTAAGCGTTTTTCCATATAGAATAAACTGTCTACAGCTCTTTTATATCATTGTCTTTGTCCATTAAGCTACATTGTGTTTTATTTATAATGATTTTCTATGGGAGGAAAATATCTAACGTGCAATTTAACGCATTGCGTTCTGTACTCGTCTGCTTGGCTATACGGAGTTATCCTTTTAAAATCACTTAATGCATTTCATAATGCACGTTCATATCTGTTGGTCTGTATATACTTTGAGTCAACAACAAGACATATAGGCTACTGGATTGTCTTTATCATCTTAGTCCGTTATTATGCCACATTAAGCGTTTTGCTGTATGGGAGGACAAGTGAAAGTTTGCGCATTGTGTACATAGCCATCTGTTTGCCTTGTAGTACATTAAATAATAACTATATATCGAATTTGATCTTTTAATTGCACTTAATGTATCTTAATACATTACGCCATATTAAGTGTTTATGTTTTTCTAAAGGAGGAAAACGCTTAACAAGAGACTTTGTGCATTGCGTCATATTCTGCTGTTCTGTGGCCACGGATTTGCGGGCCTTGTCTTTTTCTTGCAGGACCCTGTACGTTACGTTACTAAATTAGTTTTAATCATTTAATCACCACCACAGCTTCTTGTCTCCATTGGCAACAAGCACGATTTGTGTCGATTGCAAGTGATGTTGCAGGTAGGGGAGAGTGCAAGTGGCGATTGCAAGTAACATTGTAATTTAGTTTCTTGTCTTCACCACCTGGCTACTGTTGCAAAATGTTAAAATGTTAGTAATCAATAAATAGAACAAAGTAAAAAAATAAAAGACTGCAAGTGATGTCACTAGCGGAAGCGCAAGTGTCTGAGAGTGCAAGTCTGAGAATGCAAGTCTGAGAGTGCAAGGCTGCAGCCAGACCCTTCTCATCATTGCACATCTTGAAGCGTAGCGGTGGTAAATGTGAGACAAGGTACAAAAAAAAAAAAGAATTCTAATGTGGTCTTGTTTTATCATTCATACGTTGCATATCAATGAGTCAGCCTATTTGCCTAATTTATAGATAGAGGAGGCAATATTGAGAATGCTGATAATATATTTGCTGGTGTGATTGTTGTAGATCGTGTGTCAAAATCAGATCCTGCTGGCTTTTTGGAAGGAGGTTGTGGAAGTGAGTAGGCTGATTAAAGAGCTAATCTTTGTGTGTGGCTATGGTGCGAGGGATAATGCCAAGCTGGGGTCAACTGATACTCTATACAGGGATTTAGTATGAGTATAGAGTCCAATAGACTTTTTCACTGTCTGAACAGAAGGGGGAACAATGAAATCCATCCCAATGATACAATACAGTGAGTTATTGTTTGATTTAGTCCTCCAAAATTACTTTTAAATGAAGAAAACAAGTGGTTGATGTTTGAGCAAGTAAAAAGAAACACGCACACAAAAACATAAAGGTATAATTGGATTGTACAACAATTTGTCTGATTAGAAAATTAAATAACTAGTGATTATTTAATTGGATCATTAGTGGAATTTAATACTTGCACCCTTTATTTTTAAATTGATCAAATATACATTACAAAACACCTATTAAATGAGCAACAAACAGTGAACCAAATCAATGGTATAATCAAAATTCATTCCCAGCGCAAATAGATTTTATTCAATTTGATTGCCTTATTCAAAATTCTGACCATATGAGTGTTATACTATTTTAATGTTTAAGCAGTATTTGACCATTTACTTCGTAAACATTTACTTCCCTTATGTATGTATTATGCGCTGGCCAATTAGGACGGTGCGGTTGTGTCAGATGCCCAAATTTTACATTATGCATGAGAATGTAAACAATTACTCTGTTATTGTGTCTGTTTCTCTAACATTCCCTCTGTCATTTACCTCTTTTTGAATCCTCTGTTTTTCAGTTTGGTTTATGGGAGCTCCAGATCCTCCCATCCAGACTCAGAACTCCTCCACCGTCAAGCTTATGCCACACCACACCCCCTGCAAGGATATGCAACAAATCATCATCCAGGCACCTCTGGACAAGGTGGAGCATGGGGCACAGGAAGGAGCTTAGGTACGGTTGACAAAATTAAGTAGTTAATTCCTGGGAAACTTCTGTTGTTTTGCCCAGCTTGTTTGAGTATAATGGGGATAGCGCATAAAAACATATTTCTTCTGAAATTGCTTTGATTTAACACTGCACTGTTAGACTTTATTTTAATAATCATCTTTCACAGGGCTCTCAGGCTTGTTTGATACTGGACTACATCATGCCAGTCCCTCAGGACCAGATGCTTCAGTTATGAACTTGATCTCTGCTTTGGAATCCCGAGGTGCTCAGCCACCCCCCTCTGCCTCTTCCCTTCTCTCCCAATTTCGCACCCCCTCTTGGCAAACTGGTTAGTGTTGTGAGTTATTGAATAGAGAATTATTTAATTATAAACACGGAAATATATCATGAAATAAATATATAGAATCACCTTACTAACTGCTGAATCATTTTCTTTTTCCTTTGCTTTCTCTCTCTGTTGCTGTAGCAATGCACACTCCAGCCCCTGCAGAGCTATTCATTTCTGGTGCACTACCTGGCTCTGGCTCATTTCCCTCTTCCTCTGCTCTGTCAGCATATCAGCACCCTGCATCCTTCTCAGGGCGCTCCTTCCCTGGGGTGACCCCATCATTATCTCTGCAGGACACGCCTACCTTCAGTCCTACTTCCAACGGTCTCCTGTCACCACATGATCCTTTGCTACACATTAAAACACCCTCCCAGTCAAGTCTTGGCTTTGACCGTCTTCTGTCTTCACAGAGTGGGACTGCTTCATATAGAGGGCCACAAGAGCCCACTAGTGCTCCTCCACCACAAGCACCTGCATCCTCCTCAACACGCCATTTACCGCCTCAGTTTAACCTGCTGTCCTCACAACTGCAGGATCAGTCCTCTCAACTCTACAATTCCTCTGTTTTTTCTTCTGCACCCCCTCAACTGCCACAGTCCCAGGAAAGAGCCATCCCTAGGCAAGACAGTGTGATCAAGCACTACCAGAGACCTTCTCCTGGACAGTCTCAACTATCCTCTTCCACACCTCATCCCCTACCACACTATCTTAGTTGTGGTGCATCAGGATACCAGCAGATATCCCATCATCGGCATGGTTCCTCCATAAACTGTAGCCCACTGGGTGAACAGAGCCCATCATCTGACCCCAAACCCTCTCCCCGATCAGAGCAGGTATATCGTCCTATTATCCAGCCCCCGTACACCTCCTCCTCAGCTGGCTCGGGTGGTGGTATTGGGAAAACAGGAAAGAGTTCCAGTTCAAGTAGTGGCTATTCTTCCTCTGGCTCTTCCTCATCTCGAACCCCTCACACTCCTCCTTCAGCTTCTTCCACCTCCTCCTCTTCTTCCTCCTCTGCCTCTAATCCTAATATTTCATCCAGTACCTCCTCTGCACCCTCAAGGCAGCAACCACCACCCCAGTCAGCACCACAACCCCCGCCACCTCCACCACCAACAGTGTCATCCTCTGCTACACAGCAGCAGCCACCCAAACCTTGCCTGTCTACATATGGCTCTCCAGTTGCTCCTGTCAAGCCAACTGCTGGCCTTCCTGGTCAGACCCCACCACAGCAGCAGTCATATTCACCAAGCCAGCCACCCACCTCTCACTTGCCCCAGCCATATGGAGGATTCAGTTCTCCACAGGCTCAGGATCTTGGTTCCAGCCTTGGGGGGTCAGGAAAAGCTTATGGAAATCTTGGAGCTACGGGGCGTTCATTTTCAGCTGAGGTGGTTTATGGTTCTGATTCAGGATATGGTTCTTTGCCACCATCTCTCGGAGGGGCAGGGAGTCCCTCAATGGGCTATGGCGGTACAGGACATTCACCTTCACTAATGGTGTCTGGAGGTGGTACCGGTACAACAAGCAGTACCACGGGATCTGGAGCAGGTAGTTCAGGAAGTGTGGGGGGTGGTTCAGGTGGTGGTAGTGCTAGTGTAGCAAGTGGTGGAGGATCATACCACCTCCCGGATTCCAGCCCTTCACCATCAAGTAATTCTGGAATAATTCGCCCAGGTCTGCACTCTCCTGCCCCAACTTGCCCTGCACAATCACCTGGAGGAAATGGGGGCAACAAGTACCTATCCTCAGTTCTTTCCCCAGCATTCCTGGCTTCTCCACAAGGATACTCAGACACAAGGGTGCCACCCCAGCAAACACAGTCTTATCACACAACGCCGCCAAAATCTAAGTCTGATTCTGAGATGCTTGGGGTAGAAAGATCTCAAGAAGAGGATGAAGAAGATGAGGATGACTTTTTGATTCAGCACTTACTGCACTCACAGAGTCCAGCACCCAATCCCTCCCAGCATCATTCTCAACAAGCTCAGCAAGTAGCCTCACAACAACCGCAGTCCCAGTCCATTTCCCACAGTAGAGATGGAGGGAAGTCTCTCTCTGCATATGAACTGAACAAGGCATCTGAAGAACGTTATCATCTACAGAGTGTCATTCGGACCAATAATACCACCAACAATGTGGCTTCAGTTGCTGCTGGCTCTTGTGGTCCAGGCACAGGTTTAGAGAACCAGTTGGAGATGTCTCTGAAAAAGCAGCAGCAGACTAAGTCTGATAGAGTGCTTGCTGGATCTGGTGCAACTGGAGGTCGAGGTGCAGTTGATTCTTTGTCTCATACTCATTCCCATGGTCAACATGACTCCCTAGGTTCAGTGGTCCACTATGGCAGAGGAGACCCTTACACTCATCAAACACATCAACATCACCCTCCTCACCCATCGCACTCGCAACACCCTCAGCATTCACAGCACTCTCACCCCCATTCAATGTCCCACTCACATATAGATCTTAAGAAAGCTCAGGATCCTTCAGAATTACCCTACCTACGAAAGACTCCAGACTTGCAGCAGCGACAGACTCAGCCCTCCCTTGGACTAATGGATTCTCCACCCGACCCATCTCAGCAAACCTCCCAGGCTCACCTTCTCCAGTCTGTCCTTTCGCATACCACTCGAAACAAGATGGACAACCAACAGACTCCCTCACAGCAACAACAACACCCAATGAGTCAACAAGCCATGATTGGACCAAATGGGGTATTAGGTACTGGTGGCTCTGGAGGAGTAGACACTCAGCCACAGGCCTCTCAACTTCAACTCCAGCTCCAGTCCCAAACTATGGAGGTCCACTATGGACGTGAGGCTCAGCAAAATCAAAGCCAGTCAAGTCAGAATTCTGTTTCACCACTAGACATGCTAGAGAGATCTCTCTCCAGGACAAACAGTGTGGAAGGGCCAGGGTCCACTGATAGAGTTGGTGCAGGAGATGGGAGCACCGCTGATCATCACAGACAACAGCAACAACATAGGATGTCCTCACACCATCAATCCCACCACTCTCAACAACCAGAAGCAGAGCTTGATTTCTTGTCCGAGTCTGATTTGAGCATGTCAACCCCCTCTCATTTGCATCTTATGGCCTCACACCATCCACCCCCTCATTCCCTCCATCAGCCACAGGCACACTCTCACCATCAACATCCTCACCAGCACCCTCACCACATGCAACTAGCTTCTGGACCTCCCCAGTCCCAGCCCAGGGAACAAGAGCCACAGCTCTCACAGCCACAGCTGGATCAGCTCAAAGAGCATCAATATGACACTGGTAGCCCTGTGGGAAAAACAGCTCAGAACCAGGGTCAGAGCCAAGAGCAGCAACAACGGTTCATGCCACTGACATCTATTTGTTTCCCAGATTCTCTTCTCCAAGATGAGGATCGTTCCTTTTTTCCAGGGATGGAGGATATGTTCTGCTCTGAAGACTACAAGGCAAGTTGTGCTGGAGGAGGTGGAAGTGCAGGACAAGGGGGTCAGGATGGTGTGCCAGAGGCACATGGAACATTACAAGATGGAATGGATGCAGTTAAAGCTACAGGTGGTGGAGGTGCATATGACATGATGGGTCATCATGGTGATCAGGAGTATGGGCAGTATTGTCACAGTTTGTCTGAATCTGGCAATGGTACTATGCACTTAGATCTGGACCCCTTGAAATCCAATGAACTCCCATCCACTGTAAACACAGAACAACTAGGCTTAATTCAGTCTCAGGGCCCAGGCCTTGGGATGGGCAGCACGGGACACGTAGTGGACGGAACTGGAAACAAAATTATGGGCTCTGCAGGTGTAGGTAGTGGTCCTGGCACAGCAGGACTCACCTCACCAATCTTTTGTTCCTCTAGACCTAAAAAACTTTTGAAAACAAGTTCATTTCACCTCCTTAAACAGCGGAAAGACCCTAATGCCCAATCACAGGCTAAGAAGAACTATGCTCAAGAATATGAATTTGAGGATGACGAGGATAAAGCAGATGTTCCAGCTGACATCCGCTTAAACAGCAGACGTCTGCCTGACTTGCTTCCTGATCTTGTTTCCAGTTGCAGAAAGTCTGGAAGTGGTTCAGGAGTTGGCAGTTTAAGCCCTTTGATGGGTGATTTAGATTTCTGCCACCCCTCAGGGTACCCATCCCTTGGACCTCCTCCACAACTGCTCCCACATGATGGCCCAAAGAAAAGGGGGAGGAAACCCACCAAACCTAAACGTGAAGGTCCACCAAGACCCAGGGGTAGGCCACGTATTCGGCCTCTCCCCGAGCCTCCTTATTGCAGGAACATGATGGGACCTGGTGGAGAGAGTAGAAGGGGCCGTGGGCGAGGAAGAGGGCGTGGAAGGAAAGATGATCAAATGCTAGAAATGCACAGAGACATGAACAAGGGGCAGAACTACCAACAACAAGCACCTCACCTCCATCAACCACAGTTACAACAGCACATGCACCACCATCTACAGCAACACCAACCACAACATATGCACCAACAGCAGCACCTACATGTACAACAACTTCATCAACACCACCAACAGCAACACCATCAACAACTTGCACAGCATCAGCCTCAGCAACAATACCAGGAACCCATCAAACCAATCAAAGTAAGTTAAGGGTTATGATTTGCACCAATGGGAAGAATTATGTTTGTGGGAATGATGGATCAATGAAACTGTAACAAATGTAAAAGCATGTGTTGATTCAAAAAATAAGTAATTACTTAATTGTTTTCCTACCAGATTAAGCTCCCTATTCCTTCCATGCCCTCATCTGACTCCCTACTGAGGACAGACTCCCTGTCTAGTACAGATCCAGTTTTGTCTGATGGTTCGGTAGGATCTGCACCATCTCTTGGTTTGAGCCCAGGGCCCACTACCATTGTGGACATGAACAGAATTGACATGAATAGAAATGATATGAGCTGTGGTCAGGAAAAGATGAAGCAGAAACCCCAAGAGGTGAGTCTCAGCTTGCAAAAAAGTTTAGTGAATGTTGAAATTTAACAGAAAATATTAAAATAACTCCAGATGTTCTATGTAAAATGTAGAGCAAATGGCAATTCTGTGGTTTGCATTTTAGGATATTATTTGTTGCAATATCTGTACCCTTTCATAATTCTTAGAAAGATAAATTGGTGTCTTTAAAGGGGTCATATGATGTTGCTAAAAAGAATATTATTTTGTGTATTTGGTGTAATGAAATGTGTTTATGCGGTTTAAGGTTCAAAAAACACATTATTTTCCACATACTGTACATTACTGTTTCTGAAACGCGTCGATTTTTACAAAGCTCATCGGTCTGAAAAGCGAGGTGTGCTCTGATTGGCCAGCTATCCAGTGCATTGTGATTGGCCGAATACCTCAAGCGTGTGACGGAAATGTTACGCCCCTTACCATATTGTGATTCCTTGTCCTGGCACGACGAGACAAAAACATTAAAAGCCATTATAAACGAGGCATTTGTTGCATCCAGTGGGGACATAATTACGGATTATAATGACTTATACTGTCTTTTTACG